GATAGTAGATTTGCTGAAAACAAGTGTTGCTGAATCGAATCTCTGTACGCTGAATCGTCTTCAATTGGAAAACGGTTTTGGGTTTGATATTGGGCATGAACTACCACCTTGGGAGCTGCGATTTCTGGTCTCTGTATCAGGTATATCCTCCCTTCCTTTTGGTTTCAAATCTGGTCCAGTTCGATGCAAGAACGATCCTGAAATTTCATATTTCAATTTACCAGGAAATCGGTTCCCGAAAAGGTTAGAAAAATTTTTTGAAATTTTGGCTAGCCATCTTGCATGGTTTGGCCATCCATATGATGGATTCTAACCCTATTCAAACAAGAATACAATGAATAGTGTCTTCTTTTGAAGGGCAGTTTTGACATTTTCAACAAATAACTAACAGTCGATTAATGGTAGGGTCCAACTTGACACTTTTTGAAAGTTTAGGTACTGCAGTGACACGTTTGGAAGTTCGGGTACTAACTTGACACTACGGCACTACCCCCAAAGTTCAGGGTACTAAAGTGGAATTTACCCAAAATTTTATAATATAAAAAACTGACTTTTGTCTAGTTTCCTAGTTTTATATACCATTCAGCATGTATGTTTATTGAAAAAACAGCAATTCTCTTTATTAAGAATTGTCCATTCTTTCTCAGAATAAGCAAGAATTTAAAAAATGAGGCCCATGGCAATGAACCAAAAATGGCTTCAATTTACAAAGAATATTTTAATCTGAAAATCACCAGCACTATAATAATCCTTGAAGTTCACAGAATTTTCAAATAATTTCATTTCTATACCATATAATGTAAAATGTTCTCAATAATACAGATTTTAGAGGTCTGTGAGAACATAAGCCAACCTCCTCTCATTGCTCTACATCATATTCTTCTTTTTTTTTCCTTTTTTGATAAGTGGAAATTTAATTGTATTACCATGGAGGGTGAGAACCCTCAAAGCTGTACAAAAATAGTATTACTGTATCATTTATTCTTTCAATGGAGACCTCCCCCTTTCAAATATGGATGTGTTTATATTGAAAGGTAATAGTTCTATAGGTTAAGAAACAGTATTAAAAGTTAAAAAGAAAAAAGAAAAAACAGTGGTATTGGATAAGAGGAGAAAGTCTTTATCAGGTGTTATTCTTGTGTGATAAAATTCTGTTTTTCCTGATTTGTATGGTAGTGTTGCAGAATCAATGATGTAAATTGCATGCTGAAGAAAAAGATCACTAAGTATTGAGCTGAGAAGTTCGACTAAAGAGACTCGGGTTAACTGCCTCTTCATTGCTCTGGACACTTGGGCTGTATTTGGCATTCCTTATTTTAAGGACTCATCTCCTTTTTGCAGTTAAAATGCCCCTATGAACACTGAGCTTTTAACAACAAAAGGGAGATAAGTCCTTAAAATAAGGAATGCCAAATGCAGCCTTACTCTCCTTCAATGCAATTTTACGAGATTTGATAGTGGTACAAGTATAACTGGTATAATATTTTTATTTTCATTTTGTAGACCAAAATACATAATATTCTCCATTTCTCACCTATGGTTATTTACAAGCAGGGTAAGATATATTTTCCTTCCACTTGCTACTTTGGAACTTCTTTCATTATTTTTTGATCAACAGATTTTCTTTTGTTATTCAAAGGTTTATTCCTTTTCTAGCAAGGACCCTCAAGATATTTCAGTGATTTTCTAAAAGTTACGTTGCACTAGGCTGTGCATCACATGGGTCACTTCTAGTAACTTGTATATACTATGAGATGTCCAAGCAGTTTGTGCCAAACCTTCTCAAAAACCCTTCCAAACTCAATCCTTGTCTTTGCTTCACTTACATAAACCTTACAATTTGAAGAAGTTCCATTCCAATCTTAAGATATTGGTTCTTTTTTTCTTTCTATAGAAATTTCTGCATATCCTTATCTGGACCTAACCTCTTACCACCATCATTTATTTTTCAGTTTCCCTCAAATCATTAGTACTACATCAATAGGAAGTTGAATTGAGAGGATGTATGAATTTCACTAATAGAACAAAGAATAAGCACATCAATTGGTAAAACCAAGTAACCAACCTCAAGGTGGTAGCTGGTAACCACCATATATCAAAGAGGAGTTATCTATTACTTTAGAGTTCAGCCTTCCTGAAGCAAATATAACTAGAAGTTGAAAGAAGTACAATTCTGTATAATCTAAAGCTACTTGCAAGAAAAAAAAAATATCAAGTAATTTTTCCAAACCATTCTTGAAACAAAATAGTCATACACTTAAATGTATCAACAAATTTGAATTCAAGGACAAGCAAACCTTGAGTTAGTAGTTTTTATAAGTCATTGAAAACAAACTATGTACTACAAAACTCAACGTCGTCTCTGGCCAGAACTAAGATTCATCTCCACCAATTTCTCTAGTGTAACCAACAACCATCCTTCTTCTGTATGAGCAAAGATCTTTTGATTTAAGGATTCCATATAAATGCTCACATTACCAAAGCCATAAATTTGAAGACCATTGTATAGTCTACCAGGCTTAGGTTTAAACAGTAATCCATGTTGCTGTGCATATGTTTCAATAACTTCCTTTAAGCTCAACTCAGGAACAGCATTCACTCCTTGCTGCTGAGCATGGGCTGCTGCTTTCTGTTGCGCCTCAAATTGCCTTTGCTCCGTCACCCTAAGGTAGCTGATTTTCTCCCTAACCCCAGGTTGCACCACCTCCATACCTTCAACAGCCTGGTTAACCATGTCAAGCCCTACCTTGAACTGATACCATATACGCTCATTTTCCCGCAGCTCTTTTGGAAAAAGTTCTTTCCAACCTAAATACCATTTCTCAATTTCATCAAACCTTGGGTTTGAACATAACCAGTGGTATAAAACCTGCTGCCACTTGGTGAAGAAACCCACCTCCAACATAGAAACCATATGATGAATTGGAATAGCATGTCTCCAAGCAATGACCCAATGGAATGGCTCAAGTTTCTGATTTGCAGGGTTTACTTCAAATTCCTGCAGTACATTCACTAGTTTCGGAACTATATATCGAACAATAAGCTGTTCCCAACTGGCAGGATCAAACACAGTCCTCCAAGGAGATAGTACTGTGAGAGCAGATGCATCACTTGGATGCCAAGCATGAAGAACACTTCCCAGTTTGAATCTTATTGTATGATATAGAGTCTCCAATTTCTGTCCCAATAATGGTAACCATGGATGCACCCATACATGGATCGAGACAGTCTCCTGACGAGGGTCCCATGACTCTACAGCATCTGTTAGTTTTGGCATAACCACAGTGTCTAAAATGGTCTGAAGAACTAGGGGAGGCAATAGGTTCTCCCATGGTTCTAGAAATCGGAGCATTGGTTCAGGATCTCTGGCTCTCCAGGTATTAGTCCCAGATATCCTCACAGCAGGAAAAATAACCTCCATGACCAACTGGACATAAGGTGATGTTGCATCTGAAAAGCCAAGAGAATCATCTCCTTGCAACAGACTCTTCCATGAAGACATCACCTCCAACCCATGCAATGGACTCTGAAGTGGATCCCATCCTTGAAACACTCTAATCAGCAAAGGCAATGCAAATGAGCATGCAATGCAAGACAAGTTGCAGAGCTTGTAATCATCAGCATATCTTCTCTGTAAGTCATAAAACACCTTTGCAAGTGAATCCAGTGTCAATGTCCCTGACAAGTTTTCCTCACCTATTCGCTCCAGCACCCCAACTATGTCTTCCATGTTATCCAGTTGTTTCTTCTGCTGAGATGCCTCCTTTTGAAGCTTCTCTTTCTCTTTCTGCAAAGTTGCCACTGTCTCCCTCTCATTCCTCAAATCCCTGTCCAATTTCTGAATATCAAGCTCGGCCAAGTCTACTATCAGTCTTATATTATGTTGAAGCTCAGGCATTGGTGTGTCCTCTTCCTTTGCCTTCTCTTCAGCATTCAAATTCTCCAAGTTCGTCAAAACCCGTACCTGCGGTCCCCTCATATCTAGAACCTTCTGAACAACTTCCAGACCCTGCTCCTGCTTTTTCGCAAGCAATTCCTCAGCTGTGATATAATCCTTTTTCTTTCCCCGATTTTGCTTTGACCAAAGTTTCTCTTTTGCCCGCCCAGCAGGCCGAGTCATTCCAGATGAAGGTTTCTTCTCTTCCGCTTCCTCTACAGCAGGTAAACTTGCCTCCTTGTAATCATTAAAACCCATTCCCATGTTCTTCGGCCGCAACTTGGCTTCAATCGGAGTAACAATACCTTGTTCATTCTTACCCAATCCACCTCCCTTGTACCCCATTTTCTCAAGCAATTTCATCCCTATCCCCTTCGTATGCTTCTCAAACTGCCCAACATCACCAAATTCTGATTCCTTTCTTCTTCCCTGAGGTTTCTGAGCCAACTTCAATCTCTCCCTCTCTCTCTCCCGCCGCTGCACACCCTCCTTAATAATCCTACCAAACGCAGTCGGAAGAAAAATATCACCATCATCGTCCACATCATTCTCATTACCACCATCTTTCTTCGTCGAATTTTGCCTAAAACCTAATCCCGACCCCACATTCGAACTAAGCCCTAATCCAGCCCTTCCTTCCTCCTCTTCCACCCCCACGTCCTCTTCTCTGTTCCTTTCTTCTTTACTATTCTTATCAATCTCCTGGTTCGGCATCACGGTACCAGTCGACACAAAATTCACCGGCTTCGTGAAATCCGATTTTGAGAAAAAATCTTTCTTCCGCTTCCTGGATGAATCATCATTATCCGAATCACTGTCCGCGAAGACTCCATACAGGACATCTTCCTTTGTCTGCCGTCGCTTCTCCTTGCGCTTCCTGTAATAGAACTCTCCACCAATCCACTGCCCGTCATCGTAATCGTTTTCCGTTCCAAATCTCTCCATATGCTGGTACTCATCCATTTTCTACGAATACCTAACTTAAATCCTCCAAAGTTTTGAGAAATAGAAGGAAAGCAAGACAAGAGAGACTACTAAAGCGGAGAAATCAAGCAAAACTAACCGGAATGTTCGTTGCAGAAGGAAATATTCTCGACGTTCGTCACTCTGAAAGAGCACCGACTTCTTCACCTCCCGTCGTCAGCAGCTCGTCAAAAGTTGCTATGGGCTACGGCATAAGTCGTCTGGGTGAAAGTTGAAACCATGTTCAATTCAGTTAATTTTTTACTAGAAAGGCNCCCCCTCCCCCCTGAACCGATAGATTTTGATATTCTTTTACAAATGTATTTTGATAAAATTTGTTTCACACCCATTTCTTATATTGTAAATTTTGGTTATTAGTTTTTTATATTTAAATTTGTTATTCAATTTAAGAGATTGAATCAAATTTTATTTCTAAATAATAATCCAATTTATGGATGTAACATTATTTGAAATGAGTTTTTGTTTTTGTTTTCTTTTTAGTAGAGGTTATTACTACTAACCTTTTTAAAAGTAGAGGTTACTATCATTTGAAACTCTTGTTTGAAAGTAGGAGTACTCACTTTTAAAATGTTATATCTTGAGAAAACAAGATGACACTCAAGGTTCAAAATATTGATACACCCAATATGCTAGTAGAGGCGTATCGAACACTATCGATAGTTTTTTTTTTTTTTAGTTTTGTTTTCAAATCCAGTTCAGAGGGACCGATTTAAGGTCCCGTCTACCCCTGGACCAATCAAAACCCTGATACACCCTCTGTAGGGGCGTATCGGGAAGTTCCCAATACATATCGATACTTTTGAACCTTGATGCCACTTGCATGAGGGAGAAGCTCTCTAGTCTAAAGGTTTTTCTTTATATATAAAAGATATGAACGGATCAATTATTTGACAGAAATATCTAAAAAAGAAAGTTATGATCATTCCATTTGAGTTTTGTCAGTATTCCTATTTCTTATATTTGGATTGGATTTTGTTGTGTTTACAATAAAACAAATGATTAGAAAATTGGAATTGCTTTCAAGGTTTGAATAAAGTAAAATTTGAGTTGTCTTTTCTTCATCAAGAATTATTTTTCACTTTCGTTGAATCATATATTTAAGGCATTTTTGTTTCTTCTTATCATTAAATTCTATTAATTAAATTCATACATAATAAATTAATAATTCCAATAACATAAAAACTTATACTTTGAAAATTTACCTTGAAAAAAATGGCATTTTCATCTAGGTGATGGTAAGAAATTAAACCATTTTGGGTTAAATGGGTCAATCCATGTTGTCACAATTAAATAATAAAGTTCAAAAATAGATAAAATACAAAAAATATAGAAATAAAAAATAGGAATATTTTTTACATCATATATTCAGCATATTAAACTATAATAAGTATGATAAATAAGAAACATTTTTATTAATGATGGAAATAGAATGTAAAATTTAAAACCAATTGGAAATAAAATTATTTTCTTGTTCTCTCTCATTAAATCTCATATCTAAGGTATATTCTCTCATTAAAACCTATATTTAAGATATATTTTTCTCGTCATTAAATTCACAATATTAATTTTAATAGTATAAAAAATAAATATTTTGAAAACAAAACCATTTTCTTCTTTCCTGCTTGTAGGTAAGCACTTCAACCATTTGGGGTCAAACAGGTTACTAAATAATTCCATAATTAAATAATAAAAATTAAAATAAATAAAATATATAATACAAAAAATAAAAAGAACTGGGCATATCTCTAATATTGTATATTCATTATACTAAACAAAAATAAGTATGGAATGTAAGATGTATTTATATTAAGGAAACTTACATATTACTCTACCTTGTACTTTGGGCTTAGTCTCACTTTGGTCTCTTGAACTTCAAAATGTGTCGATCCAGTATGTGAACTTCCAAAACGTGTGAGTTTAGTCCCTATTGTTAGTAGTTTGTTAGTTATATGTATCATGTGATGTCACATGCAATTGAAACATTTCAACATTCCAAAACTACCCTTAAAAATATTATTCATCATCTTCTTTTACAAGACATTGTTCATCTTCGCCACCAACTCTGATCACCTAGTCAATTCCAATCTTCTTTTGTTAAATGACATCCAAGTTGAATTTCCTATTGTCTAATTAACCTGTAGAGAACACTAATGTGAATCCCACTAAGGTGGTCCCCACTGTTCGTATGTCAACAATAAATTATGATTATGATTAGTTCTTCATGATAAGATTAGGACTAGTCTTTTATAAGATTAGGATAAGATTAGGATTAGTCTTTTTTCAGCTTTATCTTATCTTATGCAAGCAATTTAGTCATTTTACAAGTATGATACTATGTATATAAATTTAAGAGGGGGACGGCTTTTTAAAGACATCAACCCAACTCTCTTTTATCAAAATCTCGCTCTCTCTCTCTCTCTATTTTCTCCCTCTTCTTTTCTTATTTTTTTCTTCTACTTTTAAGTGTTTGTTCAATCTTGAGCGACTACTTGGTATCAGAGTATTCAATCTAGGGTTTCTCATGTGGAATTAATTCAGCCGACCACATGAGAATTATTTAGGGTTGAGTTTTTTCATCCAACTAATTCTTGGAGATCACAAGAAGTCTTCAACAACTGTCCAAGGATTGGAAAGTGCTCCTTGTAATCAGGAAGAATCAGAGAAGAATTAAGTGATCAAGGTTAAGTCTTTGGTCAAGATTGGATGTGCCAATCAAATTTTTTGGTTCTCTCATCAAGATTGAAGTTGGCGATCAAGAATATTTTTCTCCGAGATCAGTTTTGTTTCAAAAGTTACTTGAGTTGATCAGAGTCAATATCAGTTTTGAGCAAACTGAAGTTGGCGATCAGAATTTCAACAAGAATTTTTTAATCAAGATCAGTTTTTTTTTCTTAGAAATTCCTGGGTAAGGTCTTATTCCTTCTTGAGGGCAGCAACAAGGATAGCTTAATTTGTGAGGTACAACTATATAGATTTTTTTTTTCTTTTTCTCTTTTAGGGTTTTAAGAGAAAACCCTAAAATCCAAGACTATTACTGTGTCTGGATAAGAGATTAGACTTGTTTTTAAGTTTGGCTACTATCAGATTTATGTTCTCTGATCTTTGTTTTTTGAGTTTTGTACCCTAGGCCAACTGCTATTAGTTCTCAGATTTAGTAGACTGATTGGTACAGTGATACAGTGAATTGGAATTTTTTTTTCTTTCTCTGAATTTGATTTCTGCTTCTAGACCTACTGTCGTTAGTTTTTTCAAACTAGTAGGCTGATTGTTATAGTAAATAGAATGTGTTTTTGCTTAACCCCTAACCAACAATGGAGTTCAAGCACCAAGGGGAGGGTGTTTTTGGGACTGGTTCAGGTGGCATGACTGAAAACACCTTCCAGATTACAACTGTAAAGTTTGATGGTTYAAACTACTTAGAGTGGGCCCAATCAGCCATGATGGCCATTGGGGGAAGAG